TAGACTCAGAGATGCAGTACCACAAGGCAGGAGAGACTCACACAGAGATAGACTCATAGATGCAGTATCACAAGGCAGGAGAGACTCACAGAGATAGACTCAGAGATGCAGTACCACAGGGCAGGAGAGACTCACACAGATAGACTCATAGATGCAGTACCACAAGGATGGAGAGACTCACAGAGATAGACTCATAGATGCAGTACCACAAGGTACGAGAGACTCACAGAGATAGACTCATAGATGCAGTACCACAAGGCAGGAGAGACTCACACAGATAGACTCATAGATGCAGTACCACAAGGTACGAGAGACTCACACAGATAGACTCAGAGATGCAGTATCACAAGGCAGGAGAGACTCACACAGATAGACTCAGAGATGCAGTACCACAAGGCGGGAGAGACTCACACAGATAGACTCAGAGATGCAGTATCACAAGGCAGTAGAGACTCACACAGATAGACTCATAGATGCAGTACCACAAGGCAGGAGAGACTCACACAGAAAGACTAATAGAGATAGACTCATAGATAGACTCATAGAGAGACTCATAGAGATAGACTCAGAGATAGACTCATAGATGCAGTACCACAAGGCAGGAGAGACTCACACAGATAGACTCAGAGATGCAGTACCACAAGGCAGGAGAGACTCACAGAGATAGACTCAGAGATGCAGTATCACAAGGCGGGAGAGACTCACACAGATAGACTCAGAGATGCAGTATCACAAGGCAGTAGAGACTCACACAGATAGACTCATAGATGCAGTACCACAAGGCAGTAGAGACTCACACAGAAAGACTCATAGAGATAGACTCATAGATAGACTCATAGAGAGACTCATAGAGATAGACTCAGAGATAGACTCATAGATGCAGTACCACAAGGCAGGAGAGACTCACACAGATAGACTCAGAGATGCAGTACCACAAGGCAGGAGAGACTCACACAGAGATAGACTCAGAGATGCAGTATCACAAGGCAGGAGAGACTCACAGAGATAGACTCAGAGATGCAGTACCACAAGGCAGGAGAGACTCACAGAGATAGACTCAGAGATGCAGTACCACAAGGCAGGAGAGACTCACACAGATAGACTCATAGATGCAGTACCACAAGGTACGAGAGACTCACAGAGATAGACTCATAGATGCAGTACCACAAGGCAGGAGAGACTCACACAGATAGACTCATAGATGCAGTACCACAAGGTACGAGAGACTCACACAGATAGACTCAGAGATGCAGTATCACAAGGCAGGTGAGACTCACACAGATAGACTCAGAGATGCAGTACCACAAGGCAGGAGAGACTCACAGAGATAGACTCAGAGATGCAGTACCACAACGCGGGAGAGACTCACACAGATAGACTCAGAGATGCAGTATCACAAGGCAGTAGAGACTCACACAGATAGACTCATAGATGCAGTACCACAAGGCAGGAGAGACTCACACAGAAAGACTCATAGAGATAGACTCATAGATAGACTCATAGAGAGACTCATAGAGATAGACTCAGAGATAGACTCATAGATGCAGTACCACAAGGCAGGAGAGACTCATAGAGAGATAGACTCAGAGATGCAGTACCACAAGGCAGGAGAGACTTACACAGAGATAGACTCATAGATGCAGTACCACAAGGCAGGAGATACTCAGAGATAGTCACAGAGATGCAGTACCACAAGGCAGGAGAGACTCACACAGAGATAGACTCAGAGATGCAGTACCACAAGGCAGGATAGACTCAGAGATAGACTCAGAGATGCAGTACCACAAGGGATTAGAGACTCACAGAGATAGACTCAGAGATGCAGTACCACAAGGCAGGAGAGACTCACACAGAGATAGACTCATAGATGCAGTATCACAAGGCAGGAGAGACTCACAGAGATAGACTCAGAGATGCAGTACCACAGGGCAGGAGAGACTCACACAGATAGACTCATAGATGCAGTACCACAAGGATGGAGAGACTCACAGAGATAGACTCATAGATGCAGTACCACAAGGTACGAGAGACTCACAGAGATAGACTCATAGATGCAGTACCACAAGGCAGGAGAGACTCACACAGATAGACTCATAGATGCAGTACCACAAGGTACGAGAGACTCACACAGATAGACTCAGAGATGCAGTATCACAAGGCAGGAGAGACTCACACAGATAGACTCAGAGATGCAGTACCACAAGGCGGGAGAGACTCACACAGATAGACTCAGAGATGCAGTATCACAAGGCAGTAGAGACTCACACAGATAGACTCATAGATGCAGTACCACAAGGCAGGAGAGACTCACACAGAAAGACTAATAGAGATAGACTCATAGATAGACTCATAGAGAGACTCATAGAGATAGACTCAGAGATAGACTCATAGATGCAGTACCACAAGGCAGGAGAGACTCACACAGATAGACTCAGAGATGCAGTACCACAAGGCAGGAGAGACTCACAGAGATAGACTCAGAGATGCAGTATCACAAGGCGGGAGAGACTCACACAGATAGACTCAGAGATGCAGTATCACAAGGCAGTAGAGACTCACACAGATAGACTCATAGATGCAGTACCACAAGGCAGTAGAGACTCACACAGAAAGACTCATAGAGATAGACTCATAGATAGACTCATAGAGAGACTCATAGAGATAGACTCAGAGATAGACTCATAGATGCAGTACCACAAGGCAGGAGAGACTCACACAGATAGACTCAGAGATGCAGTACCACAAGGCAGGAGAGACTCACACAGAGATAGACTCAGAGATGCAGTATCACAAGGCAGGAGAGACTCACACAGATAGACTCAGAGATGCAGTACCACAAGGTACGAGAGACTCACAGAGATAGACTCATAGATGCAGTACCACAAGGCAGGAGAGACTCACACAGATAGACTCATAGATGCAGTACCACAAGGTATGAGAGACTCACACAGATAGACTCAGAGATGCAGTACCACAAGGCAGGAGAGACTCACAGAGATAGACTCAGAGATGCAGTACCACAAGGCAGGAGAGACTCACACAGATAGACTCAGAGATGCAGTACCACAAGGCAGGAGAGACTCACACAGATAGACTCAGAGATGCAGTACCACAAGGCAGGAGAGACTCACAGAGATAGACTCAGAGATGCAGTATCACAAGGCAGGAGAGACTCACACAGATAGACTCATAGATGCAGTATCACAAGGCAGTAGAGACTCACACAGATAGACTCAGAGATGCAGTATCACAAGGCAGGAGAGACTCACGCAGATAGACTCACAGATGCAGTATCACAAGG